TATTTCCCCATTGACCGGTTGGAAGGATAAACATGGTTTGTGCAAATCCAAACAAAAAGTTCGCTTCTAAATGCAGTTTGTTAGGTGAGACCGCGCTTCATGTGGCCTGTTCCCGTGGCAAGATGGACTGCGTGCTCGCTCTTCTCAAAGGTGGCGCTGCTCCTAATGCTGTGAATGACGCACGAAAAACCTGCTTACAGTGTGCAATCGACAATAAGCACAGCAACGTAAGCATAACTCATTTTCAGACAACCAGAATTTCTATGACACCTCTGATTTTATGTTTACAGATAGCCGAATATCTTCGTTCACAAGGTGCGCTGGTATTCGCTGAGTTAAGCGAAACGGCAGCTAGAGTAATACAAAGTTGGTGGAGAGCAATACTGTTGCGACGGAGAATACGTAGTATGAGAATTAAATAAGAATTCAATACATAAATAAATATTGTACGAACGAAAACCATAAATATTATTGAATTTGTTTTGCTAAAGAGTAGCTCCTAAAAACGTTGTTAGACTTTAGCTCCTACTGCAGGTTGCTTTGCTCTTCGAGATATTCCTAACTACTGGAAAGAGTAAATCGACACTGCTGACAGTGACGAACAATCTTATTATGTACTGAAATGGACTACGCTATGATTTGATATAAAATTATGACTTTGAATAGCTCTTGAAGAAACGGCTCCTAGATACCCTAATTAAACATGCTGATTAACAAAATCATAACCCTTTAGCATCATATAGCAGCGCTGGACCAGAAAAGGATGCAAATACGATTTATGGTTAAAATGATATAGCACCAAGTGCTTGCTTAAATTATAAACAGATAAAATGATGTGACCTGATAGTTGCAAATTTCCACAGAATGTAGTTAAAATCAACAGTAAATTAATATATGGTAAGCATCTAGTTATTACAGAGATAGACATGATTATAAATTGATTAGAAAAATAGATCTTAAAAATAAAAAGTGTGCTTCTTGTTTAGTACTTTCGCTGCTTTCTAAGAATTTCATATCCTATGCGTGAATATAGAGCTCTGTATTATGTCTTTCAGACCCTATAGAACTTTGAGAAGACCATTTGGCTAATGCCGACCCATAAACTCCTATTACTCCTGGTAGCGGTAAGGGCAAATGGCTAAAAATCGGTGTGTGGAATATCCAAAAAATGCGCATAGATACTATGACTAACTATTTTATAGCTGCACTGACGAGATATCTACAAACATTGGTCAACAATTTCAAATATAAACTATCGGAATCGGAATGTCAGTGTTTTGAAATGAGAAAAAAAGAACAAAGAAAGACATAGAGATGCAAAGAGAAAGAGCTTCATTGATAAAAGTGATTACATATTCATGTCAAACTCTAATTTATCTAGTAGTAAGAATTTACAGCAAGGTCACAGCAGAAAACAAAGCATTGGTTCATAAATGAGAAAAAGGGGTTAAACGAAAGACACATATTCAAAAGAATCATAAGCAATTTACGAACGAGGTACATAATTTCCAACGGTCATGGGTAAAATTGGTATTTGTAAAGGAATGGTCCTCCATTCATTATAAGAGTATCCAATGTGTAGAAAAGATAAATGCAGCTACAAGACTGGATTGTGAACATTTCTAACATTATACAGACAAGAAGGTAAGCACGGTAAATATTCTGAATCACTAATAGTGAGAAGAATTATTTTAAAGTAGAAACTCTGGAGGACTACAGAAGTCGTACACTGCCTTGTTCCACATGCTGCTGTACCGACAGATATGGCAGTAAATGCACT